TGGACGAAACCGCGAGGCCGCCGCGCCCACGCAGGTGTGGGAGCTCGTGCTCGGAGGCCCCGGGGCGGGACCAGGTGGATGGCGAGCAGGCTGGGCCTCTCTTTGGGACAGGAAGCAGGGGTTCCGGGGCCGGCCGAGGGAGGCCTGCACCTGTGCCCTGCAAGGGCGGACTCCGCGGCCGCCCCCTGACAGCATTCCAGACGCAGCTGCCCACGCCCGCCCGTGACGCCGCCCGCCGGGAATGCGACAACACAGCCCTCCCAGCCTGCCCCAGGGGAGTGACCTCAGCCCCGACTCACTCCAGGACCGCCTCGCTGGCCTGGGGGCCTGAATCGACCTGGAGACATCCCCTCGCGCCTCTGCCGTTGGTCGGGTGAGCCGAGACTTCAGTTCTTCCCCGTCCCTGGGCCGCTTGCCCTCCGGTTTGATGACCGCAGACCCTGGAGCGGTGCTTCAGGAGAGCCAACTTTCTGGGGCTCAGTACTGTCCAGACCCCGGCGATGTCCTCACCCGTGCCCGGCTGTCCGAGGGTCCCTGTGCCCTCTGGGTCCTGGGTATTTACAGCTCTGTGGTGGGGGTATGAGGCCCTCCGTTCTACCCCCAGTGCCGACAGCATGCTTCCTCCTAAAACCGAAGCTAGAAAAATAGGACCGGGTCCAGGCCATGGCAAGGCGGCTCAGAGAGTTGTGAGGGCTGGTCCACCCCAAGGTTCGCCTGGACCTTGAGAGAGAGATTTGAGAGAGATTACTTGGAATAGGGCACCTGCATTTGCCAGAGAGACAGAGAGAAATGTAAAGTGAGAAATCACCCCCCAAAGAGGATGGCCATGCTGTAATCCCTTGTCCATTCTCCTCTCAGGATTTTGGACATGCATGTACACATGCCTGGCGTGAGTTTTAAGCTGCCAGGCCCGGGACTTGAAATCCCGTCGACTACATGAGTCCAGCGATGTAACCATTACGCCATCTGCTGGTCCAAAATGAAATGACTTTTTGAGAGATTTTTGCTATAGGGCACATGTGCTCACTGGAGACAGAGCGAGAAATCACCGCTCAGGAGGGACGGCCATGCCACAGTCCCTCCTCCATTCTCCTCCTTGGACCTTGGGCATGTACACACATATGTCCAGTGTGATTTTCAAGTCGCCAGGTCTGGGATTCGAACTGTAGCCAGCCATGTGGGAGTCCCGTGACGTGACCCCTGTGCCAGCTGCCGCCCCCCTGTGGTTGACTTACAACCACCAGAGAGATCCCCTCTGAAGGTCTTACCTGCCTCTGCCAAAGGGGGCCGGGGGCCGGGCATCTCCGGGACCGCAGAGCAGGGTGTGTGGGGCTCAGGAATAGCCGATTCAAGGCGCCACATGAGCGTGGACGGTGGCCGTGGCCTGGCTTACCTCCCAGAGATGCGTGCCAGTCTGCCGGCAGGTGAAGCGGCAGTGGGAATGGCCCCTGAGGCCGGGGGCCCACGTGTGGGTTCCGTGAGTCAGCAGTGCCATCCATGTGCAGTTCTTCCTTGGCTTCGCTTAACTCTGGCCAGCCGTGGTCCAGGACAAGGTGTGTGCAGTACTCCCGGATCCTCAGGCTGCCTTCATGTCGTTGATCTCGGGAGAGTCTAGCTGCTCTGACCTGGTCCTAGTCAGTGTTGGCCTCGCCCCGAACCTGACCGCACAAGCACGCGTGTGCAGGGACGTATAGAAAACATGGGTTGTGGAACTGCCCACAGGGGCTGTCACACCGCGGGGCGTGACTGCAAGCTGAGCACACCTGTGATCGGGCGTCCCAAAGAACAAGCCCAGCCTACGAAGCTCACCAGCCCCCGAGGGCAGCACCTCATCTAGGCATTGTGCTCGCTCTGCATGTCCTAGAACGTCACACGGATGGATTTGTTTGGGTTGCGGCTACTTCAACTCTCCATCGTGTCTGACCGGCTTCAGGGGGTGGTTCCTTTTCATGGCTGCATAGTACTCTGCTGTGTGTCATTTGGCCCAGAACATTTGTCAGTCCTCCTTTACAGCCAACAAAAGTGATACATGTCATCGTGGTCGCCGGGGGCCAGCCCAGGAGCGCAGCAGTTAGGGGAGCAGACCCCTCAGGGCCGGCTGCAGTCTGAGTCCCCGCCACACAGGCTCGAAACACCCCAGTCATGTCTCTGCATGCGTGCCCGGGGTTCTGACGGGATTGTCCCCTTGAGCTCTCACCTGGAACGAGCCATGTGGGAGTCCAGCCCCTCAACCACCGTGCCACCTGCTGCCCCCCTTAGCTAGAAAGAGAGAGCCCCTCAGTGAGCCGTGGTCGTGTCGCCATCCCTGCTCTATTTCCCCGCCCCGGCAGGACCCCGGGCACGCATGCACACATGGAACTGCCCTGTCCCATCAATCCCAGGCACGTTTGCACACGCACGGCACTGCCCCATCCTGTCAGAACCCTAGGCACGTGGGGCCAGCACTTGGCATAATGGCTATGTCACTGGACTCCCATGTAGTTGACCACAGTTTGAGTCCCGGACCCGGTGGCTTAAACTCACGCCCAGTGCCTGTTACTGCATGCCCAAGATTCTGAGAGGAGAATGGAGGAGAAGGGATTGCGGTGTGGCCATCCCCCCTGGGCGGTGATTTCTCGCTTTCTATCTCTATGTCTCTCTCTGTCTTTCTGGTGAGCGCACGTGCCCTATAGCAAAAACCTCTCCAAAAAAAAAAAAGAAATCTAAAAGGCCACACGCCCCAGCTGTGGCCCCATGATGGCAGGAGCTCAGCCAGAGAACGGCGGGGCAGCAGGGGCTCCAGCAGGGTGCTCGGACGCTGCCTCTGCTGGGGCAGGTGAGGTGGGAAGGCCCTGGGAAGACCCTGGGAAGTCCCTGCACGAGCTGAGCCTGGCGCTGCCACGCCACCCAGCAGTCCCCTCCCGGGTACGCCTGAAGGTGGGACCTGCGCGGGCGTTCCCAGCACACTGACGGCAGCTGGATGGTACAGACAGCTCGTACCGTGGCCAAACACCATGGTGCCGTCCACACGGGCACACGCCTTGGCCACGGACAGGGAGGAGGCCCGGCCAGACTAGAGCGTGGACACACCTCGGACACACCGTGCGGGGAGCACAGCTGGACACAGGCTACGGTTTTGACCCCATTTATGTGAGACATCTAGGGCTCATGGGCCACGGGGACAGGGGCTTGGGGGACATCCAGGACACGCAGGCCCACGGGGACAGGGGTTCAGGGGGGTGTCCAGGACACGCAGGCCCACGGGGACAGGGGTTCAGGGGGGTGTCCAGGACACGCAGGCCCACGGGGACAGGGGCTCAGGGGGACAGGGGCTCAGGGGGGGCGGCCAGGACACGCAGGACCACGGGGACAGGGGCTCAGGGGGCATCCAGGACATGCAGGCCCACGGGGACAGGGGCTCAGGGGGGCGTCCAGGACACGCAGGCCCACGGGGAAGGGAGGGGAGGGGACCCGAGGGGCACGTCCAGGACCTGCAGGCCCACAGGGATGGGGGGCCCTCGAGGGGCCAGGTCTGGGGGCGAGGGTATGGGCTGCTGTGAGGTTATGTGTGTCCTGGAACTAGACCGGCCCCTGCACACCTGGGTGGGTGAAGGTGGTGTGAGTGCACCTCAGGGAGGCTGATACTAAGGGGTAAGCTCGACCCCCAAGCCGGGGCCCCACAGGGATCCCTGGGGGTGGACACACCTGGTCCGTCAGTCTCTGGCCGGCCAGAGGTGAGGGTTCACGGTCCACGTGACCTGGGCGTTCTCCCTGCCCGCCTGCACTGACCCATTTCAGGGGGGTCGGGGGGAGCCAAAGCTGTGCTGGCGGGGCCCCCCAAGAGGGACACTCCTGCCCCACTTCACCGTGGGGCCTGGAGACCGGGGCACCGGACATGCCCTCTGCCAACCTGCCTGGGCCAGGACTTGGGGATCCTGTCACCAGGGAGGCATCCTGTGTCTGGCCGGACTGGCTGCTGTCAGGACAGGCTGGTCACCATGCCTCCGCCCTGCTGTTTAGAGGTGCCACCTGCAGCTGTGGCCACAGGGCTGGGTCAGGGCCAGGGGCGGGGCTGGAATCTGGGGTATGCCCTGTGGGGGCCCCCGGGCCTCGGTCTCCCCCCCCACCTGTTCGGCTCCAATTGGCTCTGATTCTATGGGGGCTTTGGGTGGGCGAGGAGGGGACCAGGCGGCTGCCTCGCTGGTGGCTCCCACGCTGGGAGCAGCTGTGGGTGTAGACGGGGCCACCTTGCCCTGTTGCCTTGGTGTGCAGCTCAGGGTTGTGTCCCCCTCAAGGGGCGTGAACCTTTCTTCTTAGCTGCGACCCCCAAGCCTCTCCATTTCTGTCTCACAGTCTCTCCCTGTCTCTGTCTCTACATCTCTCTGGCCCTCACTGGAACTATTTCTGAATCTGTCTCCCTTGTGTCTGCCACTAATGGTCTCAGGATCTCTGTCTCTCTTGTCTCTGTCCAGTCTCTCTTGTTTTCCTGTCTCTACCTCTCTGCTCTCACTGTCTCAGTCTCTCTGTCTCCCCTGTTTCTACGTCTCTGCCACCCTCTCCATTCCGTTTCTCTTGGGGGTCACCCCGTAGCCGGCCTCTCTCACGCCCCCGCAGCCCCCAGGCCCCAGGCTGTGGCCAGCCGGGTGACTCACGGACACGCCCCGCAA